ACCTGTCCTCAGGAGATGCCACACCTACCCCTTCCCTGCCCCGACTGGTAAGCACCCGTATGGAACTATGTGTGTACACCTGTGCTCCTGGACACATCCTCCTCCACCCCCTTCCCCAGGACAGCAGGAGCAGACTCAGCTTGTGCCATGTCCCGAGACTGAACTGACAGAGGGGACCTCCTTAATGCTCAGCATTGTATGGGGTCATTTTCACCTGGTACCTTCTGTCTTCCAGAAAGACCGGTCCACTTTGCCTTGAGGAGCCTGATCTCCCAGTTCCCAGGGCACTGACAGTCCCTCTCAACCTCAGGTATAGTCACATTACTTTCACTAAGTGAATGAGATCACTCCCAACCCCCAACTGGCCCTACTCCCAGCAGCCTGGGGTTACTAAGGGCCTCTTGCTATCCCAGGGAAAGCATTTTTCTAGGGTATGACCCCAAGCACACAAGACAGTTTGAGATCCCCAATTAGACCTTGTTAAGAGCCCAACTGTTGTGGGACACTGTACTCAGGGCATGCCAAGACTGCTGCCTTCTTGAATTCTAAGCAGCTGATCTTACCCACAGAACCCATACAAGACCGGGCTCATTAATATCCCTTCGCGGGAGGAAGGAGCTCACCAGGCCCCACCTTTCCTGAGGCATAAAAGCAGTTAACAGTTGCTAGGGGAGGCGTGCATTTTCTTCTGTGGTGTAGAAGGAGGCCATGTTCCTACAGGTAACTCCAATTGTTACCTAATGCCGTTGGTTCACTAAGCTAGCCTTGGGAACTTCATCTCTTTAGTCTGTCATTGGTTCCTCACCTAAGGAGGACAGACATTTGTTCACTTACCCAGGACCTACAACCTAGGCTTTGATGATACAATCTTTTAGATTCTCCTCTGGGACCTGTTTCCCGCTAGATTACTAACAGTTGTAACTGGATAGCAGAAGCACATATTAGGGCAAGGAAGGAAAAAAAAAAACATGGCAAACGCTTGCTGGTGTTTAGCTTTTGTTTGTTTCTATGCCTTCCTTTGCTGTCTGTTTTGTGGAACCAGAAACAAGTCAGACACATTTTGTGTTTGGGACCACAGGACCAGCCCCAAGTTCCCTTCTTCTGCCAAGGCCCTGACTATTAGATTTGAGCATGTGACTTGAGCTTGACCAATCAGAAGCTCAGGCCTGGACTCCAAATCTGGAGTGTGTGAGGCCCAAAGGAAGAGCCGATGAGAATTCACAGGTGGTCACCCGGGTGCCAGTCCCAAGACAGTTGTGAAATGCAGAGGTCTCTTAGTCAATGGTCTCTACTAAATAAGCAGGGGGCTGGTGTTGGCCTCTGTTCTTCGCTGCATCTGCCTGATGCCTTCCTTGGCCTTTACCTCCTCTCATCTACGACCACTGCCCAATATCCCTCCAACTGTGCTGCTTTCTGTCACCTACATTCAGGAGCCCTGGCTAGAGTGAGGGCTGCTCAGCTCATTTGCATGGGCAACAAATCCAATTGAGAGCCAAGCGATGTTACGAAATGTTATGACCACCCACATTTCTATGTGTCCCTTAGAGAGAGGCACGGTTGAGAGCTAACAGGATGAGCTGTCACCTTCTTCTTAGTAAATTCTTACTGAGTCTGTCTGCATTCAGAGCTGTTTCCAAATTTACAGCCGACCACAAGCAGCACTTGGTGAGGACAGGGTAACAGTTCGCCATATGTAGCTTTTTACACTACTTCTACTTCTTCTAACAGAAATGTCACCCAGGGGTCATTGTGAGCAAGAGGACATGCTCTGGGCCTTCCCTAATGGATAGCAGCAGGATGTCCAAACCGAGGCAAGCATTCGTATGTCTGGACATCCTAGACAGCTGTTTGGAGGTGTGCCGCTCTATGCTACCTCAGCAAGGTGACAATCCCCATAGCAAGACTTGCCCAGAAGTGGCCCTACTGCTACAGTTCACCTTCTGTAGCTAGTCAGCAAGGATTTGAGCCTCCTGCAGCCTCACACTAGTAGGGTATTCTTCAGATTAACACCTCATGTCACCTGAAAACTTCTCCTGCTGCCTGAAAGAGGTACAATGCCCCTAGTGCCCTAGGTTGACTTTACAGGTTGGAAACAACAATATCAAAAAACCTGTGTCACAAAAACCCAGTCCAGGAACACTGACAATGGGCTGTGATTGTCACTCAAGGAAAGAGGCACATTATTGAGAACATAGGAACAGATAGGAGTGCCAGGCTCAGGACAAGCAAAACATCAAAGATGATAGTTCCCAAGACTTTAACACATTTGAGCCTCAATTGATCTGACTCTACGGGGTCTCCCAAGGCTGAAGAGGCTGGTTCTTGGGAACAGGGACCTACTGGGGAAAACTGGAAGTTCTGTATTTTCTGCTAACATCCCACTAATGGCTATTGTACCCCGACACACCTCCCCCACTGATGCCTGCCATACTCCAACACTCCTGACTCCCTGATGCCTGCCATACTTCATACCTCGACACTCTTCACCTTAGGCCTAAGACAGTCTCCTCAGTGGCCCCTTCCTTGCCCTTGGATGTTCCTCTGGGACCCCACTAGTTGTGATCCTTTATCTTCTTCAGTACACTTTGGCTCCTGCCCTTGCAACCATGCTTCTAGGTACTATTTATTCACACCGTCAAGCTTCTAATAGCTACCAATACCTATCAAGCCAGGCACTCTGAAGACAGAGCATTTCACAGTCCCAAGGACCCGTGACTGCATAGTGTGATCATCCCATTATATGAAGAAACAGAGGCGCAGAGATGAGAAAGAACTAGCAGGACACGGGTTGGCACTGGGTAGCTGTGAAGAGGGCAATACCAGCAGGGCAACAAGGCTGAGCCTGAAGTCAAGGGTTAGGCTCTCTCCCTCGTTATATAGCTCAACAGGACAGGACTCATATATCATATGGCAGACAATGTCCTGGAGATAGCTAAATCTGTCCCAGATCTGTGCTATCCAGTGATGCTGTCTCCATCTGGAGGACCATCTTGACTGTGACTATAGGCCATCTGGATACAAGGAAGGTTGGTCAGGTCTAGACTACACTGTTGGGCAAAGCGAGTTGGGGACTGAGTGACCTGCTTAAGGTGACAGCCCACGGCCTTCTTCCACATTCCTTGGGGCTGCTGTGCTGTTTTCTAGAACATACCATCTGGACAGGGTTGGTTTCTTCCTTTCTGACTCCCACCCATGTAGAAAACTTTCCGTCAGCAGGCATTACTTAGACATTTTAGAGAAGCTTCTGGAATGAAGAACTGGCCACACTATGGATCACGCTCCCTTGGAAGCTGACTTTTCTTAGCAAGGCAGGTATAAGGAAGGTCTTCAGTGAGTCTGACTTTCACACCCCAACATTGTCGGGGTGCCCAACACTCTACTGCAGGAGCCAGGCCAGGCTTGGCCAGTGGACAGAGGCTCACATTGTATACAAGGAAGTCACTGCTCCTCGGATGAGTGTGCCTGCATGTCACCAAGCAGCAAACTCCATCAGAAAGTTGTGACCTGACTAAGGACAGTGTCTTTGGCCTCTTAATCAACATACTAGGGCAGGCAGCTCCCATAGCACCTTCTGTTTCTACTAATAGGCTGTACTCTGAGGGGTCTCCAAGGCTGCAGAGGGAAGGACAAAGTGGGACAGCCTGCACGCACCGTCCTGTCTCTTATTCAGGTCTGGGCTCCTCGGAGGATGAAGCTGTCATAGATCCATTCAGTGGACTCTACAGTTTTCTCAGGTGGCAGAAGAGTCATAGGTCTGGGCTTCCTGGGGCGGGCAGGCTTATCTGCCCAGGTTTAATCATAACCCTGATGTTTATCTTACATGGGGGTGGGGCGCTCCTACCCACCTCACTCAAGCTGGAGGTGTGGTCTGTAATATGGCCATCCATGCTTGGCAGCTGTGCCTCAGCACTGCCAAGCTGGGGACGAGAGGAGGAGATACAGTCTCCCCCCCACACCCTTATCCCTGGAGCTAATCACACAAGCTGGGCACTGCCCAGAGCCCTTTTCCTCCTCCTTGGAGTTGCCATGGTGACCAAAGCAGGAGGGACACCCGCTGATCTGGCCCTCTGCCTGTCATCTTTCCTCTTCCCAGGCCCATTTTTATTCCAGTTCCTAGTCAGTGTTGTTGGGAGCACCTGAAATGGGGTGCCTCTGGCCACAGGGGCAGGGAGGGAGCTATTGTGCTGGTGTGTGTGTGTGTGTGTGTGTGTATTGTTGTTGTTGTATTGTCTCTGTATTTATATGCATGTGTGTGAATGGACTTCTCTCTCTCTTTCTCTCTCTCTCTCTCTCTCTCTCTCTCTCTCTCTCTCTCAGGAGGGGGGTATGGTGGCCCTACTGAATGTGAGTGAACAAGGTGTCTACCCAGGGTAGCCATGTGGGTGCTACCTGGATAATTCCTTTCTGCAACAAAGCACCATGATAATCCGTTCCTTCCTTCCAAAAAGGCTAGTGTCTACCTCCGGTCTGGGGTCCTCCTCTGTAATCAGGCATTGCTGTGGGGACACTGGAGCTTAAGGATGGTCCCGCCACACCCATCATGCCATCCTGGACAAGCCACACGGCTCTTGGAACTTGTAGGGTATAGGAGCTGACTTGTGCCTATGTGTAGGAGACTGACCAAGAGGCAGTCCTGATGCTAGGCCCGAGTCCTCCAGTGTGGGAGGAGAGGACGATGGCACAGGGTTCAATATAAGTCACAGGGGAGGTGAGGCTCCAGCAGCAGCATGGGCACATTCTCCCCTTGGGATGCCACCATTTCAGAGGGAGATGGAGATAAGAGCTCTCTGGGGCAGGCTCAGCTTGGGGATAGGGAGAAAGGCATAGGCTCCAAGCCCGAATGCCTGGAGCGACGTGGCCCAAGAGCTGCTACTGAGCTCTCAGTGGGCACACTGACTGTCTCACTGGCCTCTGCTTCCTTCTGGGACAGCTTCTCGGGTTATAGCAGCCAATGGGCTGGCAACCACATTTTGGAGCCACAGGCAACAGAACCCACTTACCTGTGTTCTCTCAGGGACCTTCACCTGGAAAGGCTTGGTTTGTAGTGTCCTGTTTTAATGGTTGCCCCTCCACTCAGGATTCAGTGCTTCTATCTGCACACCTGAAATAAGATCGTCCATGAACATTTTCAAAACACACTGCTATATATAAACTTTTTTCTGTGGTCCAGGCTAGAGAAACCTTCCCAAGTGTAAGACCCCATAGAAACCCCAAACTGGAGATGTCATGAGATTGACCCAGAGTCACATGGCTCCATTAGTGGGGCTGGCTAGACTTGCCTGAACTTCAATCTTTGGACTCTAAGCAGAGTCCTGCTTCCATTGTCTAAGAAATGGGAAACCTTTTTTTTTGGGGGGGGGGAGTCGCACTGAGACACTATTAGGGAAGAATCTATAAAAATACTTGCAAAGATCTTTGCAAATGCAAAGTGCTAGGTCAGTCCTAAATCACTAATAGGCTTGGGCTCCACAGGCCTCCTGCAAGATGCTTATGAGTTTGCTTTCATTTTGCCCAAGGAAAAAAGTTGCTGAGAAAACTGCCAAAAAAAATGTGTCTCCCTATGTGTCTGGGAGAGGCCATGGCTCCCAGGATCCAGAAAGCTAATTTACATCATTCCTAGAGGGAGGGTGGGAAGCATAGGGTTACTGCTAGGAGGAGGGGGGTCCATGAGGACACCCAGACTCCTCATTATGTCCCCTTCACAGCCCTGGGCTAGGGCCTCTCTGGCAAGAGTAGAGGAAGATTCCGGAGAGGCAGAATAATGGGGTGGAATGGAGTCTTGAGAAATGAAGAGAAAGAAGGCGGTCCTCCTTGGAAGGAGGATCACTGATAAGGCATTCTGTTACTGTCCCGGCCATCTGCCCCATGTGACCACAGAACTCTCTCCAAAGACCACAGTGGCTCCAAGGAAGCAAACGCAGAGCAGCCTCTGGAGCAATGTGTGGCTGTAAAAGCAGAAGGCAGCTGGGTGTGTATCCCAACTACAGGAGCAGCATACGCGTCCCAGGAAACTCACGTACCACTTCACAATTAAGGACATGGTGGCCCACTAGAAAATGTCCCAAGTGCCATTTGTCCTGGGCCCCCAAACAAGGCAGTTAGGCCTATTCAAATCCATGATAACAGGCTCCAACTTCAAATAAGCAAAATCAACGAAGTCTGGTTCAAGTGGGAATCCATTCTATTTGTTTTCTGTTTCATTCTGCAAGCTCCCAAGGACTTGCTAGAATTTCTTAAGAGGATTCCTGGTGCACAGTCGTATCTCCACACCTGTACACTCTATTTGGGTATGCTGACTGCTCAGGGGTTGGAGGGTCTTGAGGCTTTGTTGTTGTTTTATTTTGGGTTTTTTTTCTGAGTTTGGATGGAACACAGTGAAGGGTGCAGTGGGGTTACAGCTGGTCTGGTCTAAGTCAGGCTGGAAATATCCAGGGTGGCCTGTAGCTGCTTGCAGGAGCCCACACTGGGGTATGGAAAGAATCTTTGCTCTAAGTGACTGAAGGCAGAAGAGAATGTGGGTTGTGTGACCCGGCACCTTATTGTGTCATCAGAAGCTTCATCTGATGGGCCACTTCAGGAGGGAATCTGGTGCTTCAGATAGATACAAGACAGTCAGGGATGGGGCAGGCAGAGATGGTGGAGCCTGGTCACCAACCACCTCTGTTATGGTTGATGATTTTCCTAACGTCTCAGGCTTTAGGGTCATAAAACAGGATCATAGGAAAACCAACCTGATGGTGGGGGGGGGGGATTGTGTGTGTGTGTGTGTCTGTGTTGTGTGTCTGTGTTTTACTAGTGACACCTCAGACTGGACTGCCACCCCTGCCCTTGACTGGGCCTGGGTGGTGTTCTCCTTGGCCTGTCCCCTGGGAATGCAGCTTCCCAAACACTAACACATGACAAAGAGTCTGTATGTGCTAAGATGGGCAGAGAACTAACTTAATGTCACCCTTTACTCTGTGCAAATCACATCAACTCCTCAGCAGCCTTGACCAGGTTCTTTGCTCCTTGAGGGTAAGCCCACCTTTACAAGTATCCTCCACATGATGCTGTTCTTGGTCCTAAAAGGCTTTGCAGATAGAGAGATAGGTGTTCTGGGTGCTTTCACCAGGCCAGCTGCCCCAAGTGCATTCAAATGGCGGCTCCTCCCATGGCTCACTGAACGGGAAATCCCCACCCCTCCTGGTGGCAGCCGTGCAGGTGCGCTTTCTCTGGTAGCACGAGCACACAGCAATCAGCAAAGCAAGCATGCTCTTTTTCTGATCTTTTTTGAAGACAGAGGTATTCCAGGGGGGGTGGGTTGATGAATGAATCTGAGAGACAGATGGACTTGAAAGGTAAAAGTGTCTAGCAGGTACTCCAAGGACGGGTGGTCTGGGTGCCAAGATGCAGATGGCTGGTATGTCAGAAAACCTCCAGGACAGGCTCCCAGGAGCTGCTGGAGCTCTTCGGAAGTAAACACATCAAAAGATGCCTTCATGTGGGCAGAACTTGCTGTCAGGTTTGCTTTTATTCAAACTGGGTAACAGGCTTGCAGCCACCTTCTGCCATGTTTTCAGCAACCAATCAAGAAGACCAATGAGGCGACAGCACAGCCATCTCTGAGCCTGAAGCGTCTACCTCTCTGACTACTTGGTTTGGTCAGACTCATGACTGTCTTATGTCCCCAGGGATCAGCACCTGTACATGCTCAAACGCTAGGCATTTGATGTCACTTCTGACGTGGTGGTAGATAAGGGAAAGCCAGGCTCCCAGACCTGGTCATACAGGTCCTCACCAAAACTTTCTCAAGGTTTCTACACCCACCTTCCCATGCCAGGACCTTCCAGCTACCGCTGTCTGTCCCCTGGAATCCCCAGGCACTGATCAGAGGCTCTGCTGACTTTCTTGGAATGAGGAAATCCAGGCTGGCCTTTAAGAAGTGGGACAGTGGCCACTGCATAGGCCGAAGCCTGGACTCATGCAAGTCTTGGCCTTCAACCTGGAAAATGAGATTACAGGTCCCATGTAACACACCCTGGAAGGGAGTTCTGGGGACCCACTACCAACCTGTTCCCACATTTGGATCAGGGTATCCTGAGAAGAATTTATAGCCCCAGTGAGGAAGGGGGGGCTCAGCCTACCACTCTGAGGTGAGAACTAGAAGCCTATCCCATCCGTGGCACCCTGGAAACACCTCCATGAAGGTCTGAAGATCGTACCACCTGTCAGGGGCCTCTCGGAAAGGCTGAGGCAGGCAGAGGGCCCAATGAGGGAGAGCTGCCTTAGTGAACAGCCCCCCTCCATGCCCATGGGCCTCAGGGCTACTATCCACAGAGCTGCCTGCCCCCAGGTGATCTGCCATGGTGGCATGGTAGAGGGGAGAGGGTGTGGTACTCAGGAGGACAGGGTGGGGACAGGATAGGAAGGGTGGGATAGGGTAGTATAATCTCTGACCCCTACTGTCCTCCTCCCTCTCCTTTCCTTTGCTCTCTCCTTAGAGAGAAGTGGGATCTGTCACTAGAGAGAGAATTGGTCCTTAGGAGGCAGGACAGCTGGCCCAGGTCCCCAGATGCTGTCAACCCAGCCTTTATGGAAAGCTTAGCGGCTACAAGTGACTGATTTGCAAGGCCCATCTGCCTCTTGCAGCTCAACTCTAGCCTGTTTGTCTACCCTTCTTGTTTCCTATGAACTCAGCCAGTGTCATCCTTCTAGGTCTCCTTCATAATGGCTGTCTTCCTTCCTCCTCACTGACCAGAGTGTGAGATTCTAGTTGCTTCTTTTGTCTTTTTGTGAGAAATGGTCTCATGTAGCACAAGCTGGCCTTAAACTTGCTAGGTAGTGAAAACGATGATCTTGAACTTCTGATCTTCTTGCCTCCAACTCCCAGGTGCTAGGATTACAGGCATGGAGCCCAGTTTATGCAGTGCTGGACAACAAAGGCAGGTCTTCCTGTCTGCAGGGGACTTTCTCAGGCCATGAGACAAGCCCCTGCAAACTGTGATTTCATGTGGGCGTGCATGGTCTCTTCCTGTCTCTGGGCCATGGTGGATTCCCTGGCCTCCTGAAGCGATCTTTCTCTACAACCAGTTCTGGAGTGCAGGAAATTAGGCACATGGATATCCTGCCACTTTCCAAAGTCACACAAACTGCTCCAAGTATCTTTGCTTCTCAGACTCCAAACCAAGACTCACACTGTCTCCTCAAAGGATAATTGTAAGGTCAAGTGACCAAGGATGTGATGGGTTCTCAGCAATGAGATCTGTTGAGGCACTCAGGAAAGAGGCACTGTCAGTTTCTATTGCTTGAAGTAGAGCATGTTGCTTGGCCAAGCTCTTGAAAACCACTCTAGCAGGATCCCCCATCCCAAGGATGAGGGTAGGTATCCAAGGTACCTTGGATACCTTGGCTTTGCTGGGACTTTGACCAGTGAATCCCAAGCCTGGTAGGAGAAGAGAGAGAGAAGAGGGAGAGAGGAAAAAGAAGAGAGAAGAATAGGGAGGGGAGGAGAGGGGAGAAAGGAAGGAAGGAGAGAGGAGAGGAGAGGAGAACTCTGGGGTGTGGAAGGGAAGCTATTTTGGAGCCACATCTCGTGAGCACTCTGTACAAGGACCCATTGTCACCCAGGGTTCTCCAGGAATGATAGTCAGATGGTGGGAGGGATGGTGACAGACACTGCTATGAGTGTAAGACAGAAGTTGGGGACACCAACCTAGAGCCAATTCATTTCCCAGATGTTCCCAGGAGGTCTTACCACAACAGAACTGATGCATACTGAAACCACATCTGGGAGAAAGCTGCCCACCCCATCGTAGCCCCCTTGTTCTTTCTGGCCATCCAGGTGTCCAGCTTCATTGCTGAAGTGCTCATTCTCTGAGCAGCATTAGGGTGGGCGGCAGTACCCTTGGGTCTCCCTGGCTTCACTCTTGGAGTACCACAGAGCTAAGTACCCTGGCTCACTTCAGAGTTGGGGATTGCACCCTTCAAGCCAGAACTCTCATATCCCTTAGAAGTGTAGGTGTGTGGGGGGGGGCGGGGGTCACTAGCCTAGATGAGTAGTCCTGAACCAGAGTCCCAAGGGGTTCCTCCCTCTCAGATTAGAGACTCTCAAATCCCCACTGGGAATCATAGCCCTACAAGGGTCAACAGAGAGCTGGGACCCGAGGCATGAAGTCCACACTTGGCTCCTCCACGCCTTCCAAAGAGGCCTGAGACCCCAGGAGCAAATGGGAAGAGACCACGCAGTCTTATGGCGGTGTCTCCCCTTCAGGGCTGTGGGATCCAGAGCCTCCTACTGCCCGCCCTGAAGACCTGGGCGCCCGAGCTCCGGACCAACCCGCACCGCCGCGAACCCACCTCTTGCGCCCCAGTCGCGTCGCCAGAGCTGTCGTGGTTCCCGCAGCCAGCCCGCGCCTACCCTCGGCGCTCTCGGCTCCCGCCTTCCGAGCTCCCAAGCACGGCGAATTCACCGCACGGTTCTTTTTTGAAGGGACGTTCTTTTGCATTGCGTCAGGGCGGTTGCCTGGCGACCACAGAGCTATTCCGCCGCCAGCCTCTCGGCGCCGCCGCCCGCCTCCCATTCAAGCCCGGCAGGTTGGCCTCCCAGTACCGCTGGTCCGAACGTGCCCGGGTCCTAAAGACCCCCTATTCTCCCTCCCTGTGCAGGGCCCATTCCAGCTAGATGTTCTCGAGAAGCCTCAGACGAAATCAAACCCAAACATTAATTTTTTTTCCATTAAGACCAAAGCCAAGAGAGTTGTGTCCCGTCTCGCTTAGCCCCCCACCTCCACCCCCAAGCATGGCAACGTGGCTTTGCCACTGTCAGCAGTTCGCTGAGGGAGTGGGCAGGGAAACCCGGCTGCACTCCACCCACGAAAGGCTTGGGTTCTTGATCCCAGCCCCAGCCACCAAGCCAGACCAACTGCCACGGGTTCGCACATGTCACACCATCACGGGACTCTTGCTGGGTGGGCATTTGCGGGCAGCTCTGGCTTAGCTCTCAAATGAGAAAACAGAGTCCAGAATGTTAAGGGGAAAGATCTGTGGGTAATGCCGCTGGGTCTGACATTTGCCCCATTAGCCACTTGTACCTCATTCTCTCTCGAGTCATGTTGGTGTGGTTTTTAGGGGATGAGCTTTGCCCTTTCCTGCTGGCTATAGAAGCACTCACTTTAGGTATGACCTTCAATACCCGGCATACCTCTCCCCACTCACCACTCGTCAGCACTCTGGGAAGACTGGGTTATGAGTGTGGACAGCAGTATGAAGAGTATCAAGTAGCTAGTTAGCTAGGTGCCACATCTGTCACGGGAGTGCGCCTTGTATGTCAGCAAATGATGGCGGATAGGTGTTAGCGGACTTGTTTGAGCTCAGTGTACGCTGAGAGCCTCATGGAAGAAGCAGCCCATCAGTGGTCTGCCGCATATCCAGAACCCAGAAGGGTATAAGATAGGAGCCTTAACTTCCCACTGCTATCTGAGGATCACCCTTTCATATTTGCCATTTGTATCTACAGTGAGGCAACCAGGAGAAACTCCACCCTTTACTTTTGAGGTTTTAAAATTGAAACACAAAATGTCCTGCCTCTCACCCTTTTCCTGGATTGGCTTTCCACCAATCCAATAAAGACATATTAATATCTTGTAAATACAAGGCTTTTGGCTCATGAGGGCCACCTTAGATAAAAGACCTTGACCTTGTCAGGCTACTGAGGTGGGTGGTGACACCCCTCTCCTCTCCACAGGGCAATTAGGATGCCAAGTCCTGGACCAGAGTCTATCAGCTTCTGCCAGCTGCTCCTGGAAGAGACTTTTCCCACCAAATGATACTATGGCTCTCAAGACGAGCTAGGAGGTGGCTGCCATTGGTGCTTTCCTCCTTATCTCTCAGAGCGATCTGTTCAGCAACAAGGCTGGCTCCTATTCTCTAGGGAGCCCATTAGGTCCACTTAGAGGCCAGCAATCCTAGGCATGGTGCATACAACTTGTTGCTAGGGAGATAATTGACCAAACATTCACTTTGTTGCTGGGGTCAAAAAAGGGACAGATGCCTTCCCAGCCCAGGTAAGAAGGTGAGAAGGCTTCATGGAGTGCTGGGGGTGGGAAGGAGAACTGGAGAGAACGAGAAGAAACTAGTTACACACAGAAGAAGAACAGTTTGACTGAGGTCAGAGTATAGGTGTCAGGGGCTGAGCTGTGGTTTGTGGCACAGTCCCCAGGACAGCAGGATTAAAAAGGGAGGTCACAGCTTTTGCTTTAGGAGTAGTGAGACAGGAGGCCTGTGATCAGGTGACTTTCTCTTCAAAGGAGGAACAAAGCAAAGGACATGCAAGGTTCTGATGGGGGCGAAGACAGTGTCACCTTTGTTTTTCCTGAGTTGAAGATGCCAACAGGGTGGCAGAGAGGAGGGACTCAACAAGGATTCAGGAGTTAGGAGCACCTGGGTCATGTCTTGGCCCTGCTAGTGTTTGGTGTGTGGGAGCAGTCACCAAAGTCCTTTGATAGGCAGTGGCTTTGTGGGTGAATGGAAATGATTTCCTTGATGTTGATTTGTGGGTAAGAGAACTCCCAGGGTGCACATGGTAGCACTATCCTGGGCCAACTCCAGATCAAGTGACTGCAGGCTCATGAGGTGCCTCTCACAGCCCCCATCTCCTTTTTGCCCTACCTTCTGGGCAGCAAGACCCAGGCAGTTCCTGGGGAAACAGTTGTGTTTGTGACTGGGGAGATGGCTCAGTCTGTAATGTTCTTGCTTATAAGAAGGAGCTCCTGGGTTCAAACACCAGAACCTGTAAAACAAACAAAAAACAAAAACCTCTGTGTGTGTGTGTGTGTGTGTGTGTGTGTGTGTGTGTGTGTGTTTGGCTATTCCCCTGCCTGGCCTCTTATCTGGTCTCTAAAGACTCAGATGGAGGCTGAAAAGCAAAACTGGGGAGTTCCTTTGCCCAATTTAACTCCCCAGGTTGGGAAAAGAGAGAGGAGAGAGTTTGCCTTATTTCCCCTGTCCCTCTGAGTTCCATGGTCTAAGACTGTATGGACCCCACACGATGTGAAAGCAGAGGGAGTCTGGCCTTTGAGGTTCTTATAAATGTATATTTGTCAAGGCAGGAGGGAAGAACAAACCTTATTTCAAAGTTTATTAGTTTGATTTATAATGTTCAAATATTTAGACACATGGCGCGTGGGCCTCCTTCATTGCGTTTGCTTTGGGCCTCTCAAATGTCAGGGGTAGGCGTGATTCCAGCCTGTGTTGCTCGTTTGTTTAAGGAACAGATGACACAGCACCCTGTGCACAAGCCTGGGCTGTCACTATCCTCCCTTCCGGCCTCTTGGAGCTTATTCTTCTCTCCTGTGAACCCTTGTAAGAATGGAAATTGAGAAAGTGTTTCTAGGTCTGGTACTGGCAACTGCACAGAGCTCTCCCCAGCACATACAACATTAGAAAGAGATCAGCAGTCACTGCTGCCAATAGTGCTGTTCATCCTTGATGGACAGGGGAAGCCTTCCAGACATTGTGCATAATCACAGCATAATGAATCCTGGGAAGGAACCAAGAGATCCAGATTCCAGTCCCAACACTGTCGCTAATTAGGTTAGCCCTTTTTGCATCTGGAACAATTGATTTCTACTCTGGCCTCCTCTGACCCCAGTTCTGTGATATTCAGCACCCACTACCTAGGATCCATCACCTTCAAAGGGGCAGGAGGTAGTGCTGAAAACCCTCACAGCAGGATGCTTTTGATGGACAGTGTAAATCTGGACCAACAAGAGGCCCAGGAGTTCTGATGAAGAGAAACCATGTGGTGAGGCCCATGTGAGCATTTGATTTGAGACACTACTGAGCAAAGCAGGAGGTAGGACTGGGAAAGCCTGCATATCGTAGTTGCTGTCTTCATCTTGGTGACTGAATCCAGAACTTCAGGGAGGAAGGATTTATCTGGACTTATGATTCAGAGAATTACAGTCCATCATGATGGAAAGGCATGGTGCCAAGAGTGTGCCAGTCAGAGGTGGTAACAAGAGCTTACAGCATTGACTTCTGGAGTGGCAGGAACAAGAAAGTCATGAGCTTAGACCTGAAATGGAGCTGGGTTATTGTCGGTGACCATACAAGGGGACAAACAGGCAGCACTAGAACTCATGGAACACGGCCGGATGACCGGCAAAGCCACACCTGAGTGAGCCTTGGAAAGGCAAAGCCCCAAGGACTATGTGTCCTGACGACCTCATAGTGTTATTGAGCACAGCTCTGACTGTCGTCTTTACAGTCCCCACACCCCTCATAATCTATGGGTTGTATGAGAATTCTCAAGGGGTTTTTAGGCCCTCACTGGGCAGTGTTGCTGGTACTCAGAATACTAGAGATTGACTTTTTCCAAGCATTGCTGCTGGAGAAGATTAATGATTCAGCCACCACCCTCAGAAAGAATTTAGATGTGTAGAATTGTTAGTAAGGTTAGGTCAAGGTGTTTTTGTTCATGGCTTTGGGGTAGAAAATCTTGGGGAACAATTTAGAGTTTAGAAAGTCACATAGTTGATTGAAGGACTTCTTGAGGTCAAGAAACAAGAACAGTGGCAGCCTGGCTATTGTTAGCTGGCATACCTTTCTTGCTAGGATGGGTTGGTGATGAAAGGTTATAATTAATTCCTTGTACCCATTTCTGACTTCAGCTTTCTGATATAAAAAACTGTATAGTGGTTATGCACCCTGAGGATTTTAAGTAGAGCTGACTGATTTCTTTCATATATAAACTTTAGATTTTTGACTCTTTTAAGATTTCCTATAAAATTACCTTTTGAGATAAATAATAAAGTGATTGATCCTTTCTTTGTAACTGCAAAATGCAGCCTGCCAGCAAAAGAACTGGCTGAGAAAAATACCATGCTTGCTTACACTCTGTTAATCTAGAACAAGTTGCTTGAGTATGGATGTATGTGGGTTCTTGGGACAACTCATTTTTCACCTGTAATACGTAAAATATTTAATCATGTAAGGGATATGGAAAACATGCTGATTTTTTTACTTGTATCTATTGTAATCATTCACTTAAAAATAGAATGTAACCACATAGTAATTTTTACACTGCTTGAAAGATTTGCTGGGGCTTAATGAGATTTTTCTGAGGTATATAGGAAGATTTTTCAGGGGCGGGGGAAACAGATACAAGAGAAGGAAAACACCAAGAAAGATGTAGAAGGAAAGTTAGAAGGAATGCGTCAAGAGAGAGACAGATGGGAAACATCAGAGAAGAAAAAATAAAACAGAAAAAGAACACAGCGCAACCAACAGGAAGAATAATGAAGTAAAGAACTAAGCTTTGGCCTTCACAAAAGTCCTTGTGTGTCTGTCTGTCTAGTAGTTCACCTCCTCTGCATCTCCTCTTCAGTTTCTCTGACCTGCTGAAAGCGCCCTAGGTAAGATCCTGACATGTTGGAGGGTGTGTGTGTGTGTGTGTGTGTGTGTGTGTGTGTGTGTGTGTGTTTCCCTTTTTTACTGGCCAAGAGAGTTAAGTTTAGCCTCCCTCTCTAGCCCCAGAGAATTAAGTTTTACTCCCCGAGACAGAAAAGTCAAGTAGATTGATTCATTCACTGACTGTGTGGATCTTCCTCAATCCCTGAGCTGCTGAAGGCTGGTTCTCACAGCAGCAATAGGCTATTATTCTCAAAGCCTGTCCATAGCAACCTAACTCCAAAGGCCATCTAAGTAGTCAACCTTCCCAGCCCCACCAGCTGGGGACCAAGTCAATTCACATTTAAACCCAAACATTGCTTGTCCAGCCCAGTGCTTTAAGCTCACAGTCAGATAACTTACACAAGCAGGACGAGTCTAGAGCCTACAGTGGAACACTACCTTTATGCAATCCAGGTCAGGGGGACCCAGTGACTTCTCAGTTTCACTCCTGTCCTTACACAGAGCCAGCAGCTGATCAGTGCTGGCAGGTATGGGTCTGATGAGTTGATTTCATCAGTCAGTCCCCAATAATGGGTTTGAGGTGGGTGAGGGGAGAAATTGTTGCCTAATATGATGGATCAACCTAATCATTCTGTCACCAAGAAAATCTAGACATCATCAGGGGATTCAGAGCAGGGTGGAGACCAGATGGTAAGAGATGTGAAGTGTTTGCCCATATCATGTGGAGCAGGAGGGAGTCTGGGGGAAAGGTTCTGTGCATCTTCATCTTCAACCCTGAGTTCTGGGGAGGGTGTGGCCCTGCCTGTGGAGATAGCTACTCCATGCTGGCTCTGCACCTGCCTCTTTCAAATGGGCTGTCTTGAGCAAACCTGTCAGTCTTTATGCCTCAGTATCTACATCTAAACACTAAGGCTGCCTGTCTTCCGATAATCATAAGGTGTGAGAATTAGAATCAGTGGTTAGAAATGCTTAGTGTATCGGTTGACTGGACACAGGCACACAAATAGTGTTCTTTATCTTGTCTGCCATGAAGGCCACCTGAGAAGGGGTGTGGCTTTTTCTCAGTCTAGGTTAATGTCTAACAAGCAAATACTCCCTTAGCTGGCAAAGTAGAGAATGCCTTAGCGGTCTTCTTTGTCCAGGCCTGAGGCGGGCCTGTTTGGATCAGGCACTAGAAACACAGAACGGTATAGAATGAGGTGCTAACAGACATGCCACAGTTTTGGGGTATAGAGCATGAAGCTCTTCCTGGCTAAGAATGCAGCAGCTGATAGTCTAGTAAGGGTCAGCTGCCATTGCACTGACTCATAGTAAGGAGCCTGCCTTTGTTTCTGCTTCACAGAGACCTGGAGTCATAAAAGTGGGATCAAGACACACAGGGATGGGCTTGCTTATCATCCTGGAGACTACAGAGACACTAAGAAGCACAAAGAGGAGTCACCTTAGCAGGGGCCGTCAGGAGTCACCTCCAGCTAATGTTCCGTCCCAGCACAAAGTCAGCCTTCCTTGCACATGGTCCTTCTGAAAGGGGTCAGAGAAAGTGAGGAAGAGGAGGAAAGAAAGGGGGAAAAGACGGGGAAGCCCCCCTTCTACAGTATCTGCCCTCTCACTATTCTCCCCCATTCCAACCTCAGTTTCCCCAGACACTTCTGTAGATATTTCTGCACCCATATACAAATATGCCCATGGTATGGAAGGGGTTGGATTGTCTTTGAAGCTTTCCAAGGGTGAAAAAGCAATTTGTTGGCAGTGCCTCTGTGTGATGGTAAACACTCCTCTTAGCCCCTACTCTCTCCAACCAGCCACCCCAGCCCCAGAGTCCAACCATGTCAAGTACTCAAGTCTATGAGAGCTCAGAGTCTGCAGAATTAGACTCGGACAAACAACAAACATAAACACACACACACACACACACACACACACACACACACACACACACACACAGAAGCCAGGCAGTGGCTAAGATTAAAACACATGTTCTGGGGCTGTAGGTGTGACTGAACCATTAAGAGAGTATACTGCTCTTACAGAGAACCTGTTTTGAGTTCCTATTATTGATGGAGGGAGATTTACAACCAACCTCTTGGGACTCTGATGCCCTCTTATGGCCTCTGAAGTATCTAAATTTTGTGCACAATTCCTAACACACACACACACACACACACACACACACACCTTAAAATAACAAATTAAAGTTCTTTAAAACTCTTGTTTTGAACCTCTTTCTCCAAAAGACTTCTTGTCATTTGCACAACTCACTCACAACCAAACATACATGAATGCATCTATAGTCAGCTGTGTGACTAGACTTTATAAATCTAGTCAGATGTTACTATTTGCAGATACTGGAATGCATGCATTCTCTAGTCTACACACACACACACACACACACACACACACATTACTAACCCTGGATGACCTGTTTTCCCTATCACCCAGGACAAGCTGATACTGAGACATATCCCTGTGGTCATTCCTCTCTCATCTGCTTTCTTGGAATATTTCAAGTTCTGTGAGTTTTGGGATGGTGGTGTATTCACTTGAGCTCTGGAATGTTCATGGGGCCCAGCACAGGGTTGGAATGTGAAAGATGCTGTGTAGGTGAAGTGGTGCATGAATAGTTTGTATTCTTATCACCTGTCTCTGTTTTATTCCACTAAATAAGGCATGGATGGCTCTCTGCTCCTCTCTGTTCCAGAAACATCCATGTCTTCTTATGAAGTACCAGCCTCATGCCTGAGACGTGATGATGAAGGTCGGAATGAACAGAATTGGCTGTATTGGGCACCCGGCTACCAGGGCTTCCTTCAATTCTGGAAAAGTGGGCATTGTTGTCATCACTTACTCCTTCATTGACTTCAATTGTATGGTCTATATGTTCTAGTGTGACTCTACTCACAGACATCTTCAACGGCACAGTCAAGGCTGAGAATGGGAAGCTTGTCATCAGTGGGAAGTCCATCACCATCTTCCAGGAGAAAGATACCACAATCATCAAATGAAGTGATGCTGGTGCCCAATATGTTGTGGAGTCTGGTATCGTCACCACCATGGAGAAGGCTGGGGCCCACTTGAAGGGTAGGACATAAAGGGTCAACATCTCTGCCCCTTCTGCTGATGCCCGCATGCTTGTGGTGGGTGTGAACCATGAGAAATGTGACAATTCACTTAAGATTGTCAGCAATGCTCCCTGGACTACCAACTGCTTAGCCCCCTGGCCAAGGTCATCTGTGACAATTTTAGTATTGTAGTATTGTAGAGCGTCTCATGTCCACAGTCTGTGTCATCACTTCCACCAAGAAGACTGTGAATGGCCCCTCTGGGAAGCTGTGGTGTGATGGCCATGGGGCTGCCCAGAACTGGTGCTGCCAAGGCTGTGGGCAAGGTCATCCCTGAGCTGAGCAGGAGGCTCCCAGGCATGGCCATCCCTGTTCTTACCCTAAGTCTGTCTGTTATGGATCTGACATGGTGCCTGGAGAAAGCTACCAAGTATGATAACATCAAGAAGGTGATGAAGCAGGCATTGGAGAACCCTCTTAAAGGGCATCCTTGGCTACACTGAGGACCAGGTTGTCTCCTGCGACTTTAAATGTGATACCCACTCTTTCACCTTTGATGCTGGAGCTGGCATGGCTCTCAATGACAACTTTGTAATTGGCTACAGCAACAAGGTAGTGGACCTCGTGGTCTCTGTGGCTTCCACAGAGTAAGAAGAACATGAGAATGATGAGAAGCTCTCAGCTGCTGAGGAGTCTGTCTTTTGTTTGTTTGTTTTTTCAAGACAGGGCTTCTCTGTGGCTTTCCTGGAACTAACTCTTGTAGACCAGGCTGGTCTTGAACTCACAGAGATTCACCGGCCTCTGCCTCCCAAGTGCTGGAATTAAAGGCATGTGTCTCCACCGCCCATCCGAGGAGTCTGTCTGTGAAGAGACACCATGACCTCAGCAACTCTAATAAAGAAAACATTTAATGGGGACCGCTCGCTTATAGTTTCAGAGGTTCAGTCCAGAGCTTGGCATCACAGGCAGATGTGGTGCTGAAGCTACAGGCAACAAGAAGTCACTGGTTGTCAACCCCCGGCCCCAGGGAAACGAGCAAAAGAGACCTCAAAGCCCACCTCCACAGTGTCCAATAATGTCCTCCAATAATGTCACACACCTCCTAATAGTGCCGCTCCCTTTGGTTCTTCCAAACTACCACAGAGTCCCCGTCCCAAATCAGCCCCCAACACTGAGCATCTCCTCTCACAGACCCCCCAGAAGAAGGGGATGGGCTTACGGCGCCTCCATGCCTTTGTAGAGGAGTGGGGCTGGGGTGGAGCAGTGAGCTTTATTGATGATGTTTAAGAGAGGAGAGCTGGGGAGATGGGCTGACCCACTTGCAGGAATGTTCTTGGAAGAGCATTTACCAATGAGGTGGGTAGAGGGTAAACTGGGCCTTTTGTCTTCTATGCTAGGAATGAAATGGGGTGAGAGAGAGGCCCAGGGAAGCAGTGAGGAGCTTTCTGGGTCTATCTTACTCACCTCTGCTGTGGAATGAAAGCTAGACGCCCCCACCCTTGAACCGACTATAGGAAGCCAGACACAGATGTCTCCCCTCTCCTTAATGGGCCTTCATGAGCTGCCCTCTTTTCTAGGGCCTAAAAGGGAGCTGTGAATTCCACTGTCTCTGCATTCAGGAGACTGGGAATGGGTAAGCTACGACGCAGTCAGAGAAGGAGAGGCCAAGGCTAGAGAATCGCCTCCTCGCCAGTGCTTCCGGCCTGGCATGGAAGCCACCATGCACCTCGCTGCCCTCCAGCTCCCAGCAGTCATGTTGACTTGTCCCTCCCACGTATTCGCCCCTGGCTGTAAGCTCAGACTCAGGCAAGGGGCTAAGGAGTGTTTCTGCTCTGTAGATATGACTTGGAAAACACAACTCACTCCCTGCTCCTCCTGGCTTAGGCTGAGGAGCTCTTTGCACCCGGCTTCTGGAACCCTGTGAACTGAGCCAGGCTGAGGAAGGAAACACAGGGCCAGTCCATTTACTTCCTGGGCCTGACATCATCCCTCATGGGCTGGTACTTTTGCCTGAGGGAAGGAGACTTGAGGTACTCTCTGGCTCAGAAACCCTGATTAGGCCTGAGTCACTGTCTCCATGAGCTGGTGTGGGAACAACTGCTTTGGACTGGGGTAGGGTGAGGCCAGGGTTTGAAGAAAAGATATAGGGGTATGGGAAGGGAGGGATCTCTGAAGACAAACTGGGGTTCCCAGCAGCATGGAAAGCTGAAGTTAGAGCAACCAAGGGCCCAAAGACAGCCTAACTCAGACATAAAGAAAACCCCCAAACGTGCAAACTCTAGGCCTAGCCTGTGTCTCCACAGAGCCTGTTTCCCAAGGCAGGCAAGGGATGAAAGGTGTCTACCCAGGGAACTGAAGGGGCAGGCTGGCTGTCCTCCTGCCTGGGTGAGCAGGCAGCAGAATGTCTGTGGCTGAGGAGAACTAGCTGCAGGCAGGAAGAATGGCATGGGATGAGGCTCCTTGCTTCCCTGTGGTCCCTTGCTGAAGGGGACATCCTCAGCCACTCCTGTCCAGCATCATGCATGGAACCCTTAGAGTCCTTTGTCCCCTCATCCCTGGTTTCCTAGACCCTTCTAGAACATTCCTTTTCAAAGAAAAGGCTTCTTTACCTTACTGGCTCTAACTGGGGGACTTCAGGGTGTAGGCAGGTCCCACACCCCGCCCCTAACGACCATAGCTACCATTGGCTCACAGCTAACCCTTGCCTGCTTTGAGTCACTCTGCTGGTCCCAAGCATTTCAATTTTTAACTTTGAACCTTTGATTTTGTGTGTGTGTGTGTGTGTGTGTGTGTGTGTGTGTGTGTGTGTGTGTGTGTGTTTTACTTTTAGGTGTAGGAAAAAAATTTTAAATGAAGCCAGTGTCCCTGCCCCAAAAGTAACAATCATTCACATTCCGGCCATCCATAGTGAACTGTCATTCATATTTTTTTCATGTGTTTCCCTAATGAACACCGTTTTAAAAAGCATGCTACAGGCTGGAGAGATGGCTCCATTTTTAAGAGCACATGCTGTTTTTTTCCAGGAGACTTGAGTTCAATTCCTAGAACTTGCATCTGGCAGTTTACAGCTGACATGGCTTCAACTCCAGGGGAATCTAACACCTCTGGCTTCTCTGCGGGCACCTGTACTCATGCGCACACACTGCACCCCCTCTCCTTGCATACACATAATTAAAATTAGAATAAAGTCTTTAAAGGCATGGAGAAGTGACTCAGCAGTTAAGAGGGCTTGCTATTCTTCCAGAAGACCAGAGTTTGGTTCTGTGTGACTCATAACCACCCATATGTAACTATATCTCCAAGGAATTTTAATCCCTCTTCTGGCCTACATGGGCATCTGCATTTATGTGTGGACACAGACACACACACACACACACACACACACACACACACACACACACACACACACACACACACGAGTACAAACACACACTCCTTTTCTTGCTCTGCCTTGATCTCTTCTCCTCCTCTTCATTCTCTCTTCCTGCCAGCCCCACCTAGCCTTTCTAATGCCAAACTATTGGCTGTTTAGCTCTTTATTAGAACAAATAGGTGTTTTAGACAGGAAAGTAACACTACTTTACAGAATTAATAAATGCAACATAAGGAATGCAACACATCTTTGCACCACTAAAACAAATGTTCCACAACATAAACAAATGTAACATGTCTTAAAATAATATTCCACAACATCTCAACATATAATACTTCATTGTTTTTGTACAAATGTTCAAGTTCCTCACCATTCTTTTCAGAGTTGTTTTTCCTTTCTCCACTAGTTTAAAATGCCAACATTTTAACTTATTTTAGTATAAGAGCGGATCATTCTATTCATTTATATGGATCTGGCTGTTCTAAGTTAGTCAGCATCACTTTAACTATAACTTCATAACCCATCAACAGCCACACATTTTGCTAAGCATGATGGCAATTTTGTTTGCTTTCCATGGATGGGAAAACTGAATCTAGGGGTTAAAATGATTTGCCCACAGCCTGCCTCACCAAGTCCCCAAAGCAGAAAAGGTATTTTACACAGGGTCACACCTCTTGACTGCTCTTATTCCCCCCCCCACACACACACAGTCCCTGCTACCCTGCAGCATGCAGTTATTGTGTACTAGGAAATGGTCAAGGAGCCTTGTTCCTCAGCCTTGCCATCAGGATTGAAAAGGCTATATCTACCCTGTCTCCAGCAAGAAACACCCACTAAGCACTTAGGAACACTGGGTGGATGATCTCCTTGTCTCAACCTCAGGAGAACTAGGTCTCTGAAGGTGCTAATTTGCTTCCAGATACTCACTTCTCAGCCTGTGCGTGCTCCACACTGGGATCTAAAAGATCCAGAGCTAGGAGTGTCCCCTGGTTAAGCAGAGATGTTTTCCAGGAGGCTGCTGCCTCTTGCCATTATCTTCCATACTTCTTAATCTTTTCACTCTTATTTCCCCCTTTGTTCCCTCAACTCCATCCTTCTTAGAAATGTGCTGTTTGGTGTGTTGTGCAGGGAAGTTTGTTAGGGAACAAAGCAACAACTCAGCCCAGGAATGAGAAGTAAAGGTGAAAACATTCTGACAGATTGGAAGGATCTAGAGCCCATGCAGATAGTCAGCAGGTACCAGTTGCTGCCGGGGCACCCTGGAGTCCTGCCTTAATGAAGAAGTAGTCTCCTCTTCCCTAGAGAGAACCCACCAATGCCAACTCCTGCAGCCACTGTGCTTGCCCAGCCCAGTCCCTGGTCCATCTTGTTCCTCTCTGTGCTTGGTGTCATGTGGAGTGAGCCTGAATCACCACCACCATCTACAGATGCTGTGGGATGACCTCCTGTGGGATGACCTCCTGGGCACCAAGACCTGTAAGAGCTGGTGGCGACCACCACTTGCCAGGGTGTCCTCTGGGGTCTCAGGGGGTTTACAGTGGCTGAACTGTAAAGGCTTCTGACCTTTGAGTTACTCAGAAAGCTTAGTTTGTGGCAGGCTGCACAGCCTTCTGGATTGGAAGCACCCAGCACCGCTGCTCTAAAACCCATCATTAGCGGGATCATGGAATGAAGTTCTGGGAAGGGTTTTCCAAGAAGCACATGTTGGAAAGGAAAGAAGAGTGGACTGCAGATGGGAAAACCTGGAATTCAGTCTCTTGCAACTGTTCCCTGGCTTTTAACTTGAAGCAAAAGCAGTCCCTTCCTTTACCCTGTAAAATGGGATGATGAGACCCAGATATGACAACTCCTTCCATCACTGACAATTGTGACTCTTGGAGGCTACTGCCCTTTATTCTAGTGTGTGAAGGCAGGTAACAGCAATCAAACAAGCCAATGAGCTTCTAGGGACTGACAAGGACAATCAAGAAAACAAAATAGCGGTCACAGGAGACAAGAAGAGCATTGGAATTGGTCAGAGGTGACTGTCTAGGCCACCAATGCCCCGACCTAGAAATGGGTCCACACATATCTTGTTACAGAGGGACTCATGGGTTCTGTTGCCTAGGGGAAGGAGTGGAGAGGACTCACACTGTTCTGATGCTGTGATTGTCCTTCAGGATATAGGCTGGTCCTCCCAAGTGAGGTTGGTGATGGAGCCTGAGGTCTGGAGTAGTATACACACAGGAAATTCCCTGGGAAGACTTGAGGTAAGGTGGGAGGACAAAATATAGATTCTGAGACCTTTACTACTCAGTTGGAGTTCTATGTGAGGACAGACAGTTGTCCTGGCCAGGAAGAGCCTCTGCTTGGTGACTAATGGCAGCTGAAAGAGAGCAGACTGGCAGAACTCTGCAAGAAAGCAGTCTTACCAGAGCCTGCAGCCGCAGAGAGCAGACTGGCAGAACTCTGCAAGAAAGCAGTCTTACCAGAGCCTGCAGCCGCAGAGAGCAGACTGGCAGAACTCTGCAAGAAAGCAGTCTTACCAGAGCCTGCTGC